ATGGACATAATTAGGGCAAGAAGAGATCAGTGTGGAAATGGCCAACAGCTAATCACATCTGGCCCCCAGAGGCAATATATTTTAATTATGCTGGGTGAGAAGCAACAGCAACAAAAACCAAAACATACAGGGCAAATAGATCTCATACCTGCAAAGGATGAAGCACTGCAAAATGTATAACATTCAAGAGAAATGTAGGACATTACCAAATAAAGGCTACAAACACTCACGTAAATATAAATTCTTTTCATATGGTTTATTTGCAACTATATTACATATTTTATTATGTACTCAGTCATATTTGTCTGTTAAAATGCTTTGTTGGTTTGAAAGATACTTATACAACTCTGAGCAAGACAAATGCTTAAAATTGTATGTTACTAGCAACTGAAATCCTTGACTGCATTTAAATTATTCCTTTGTCTATCGTTCATTGTAGCCCATTGCCATATGCTGCCCTTTTCCCCTCGGAGAAACAAATGCACTCCAGGCTCTGAATCCTGAGTCTTGTCTGTTGCTGCTCTTAGGACTTAGGAAAAAAAATAACTTTATAAGGATCCATCCTCTCCCTCTATTTGCAATGAAGAAAGGCTGCCAAAAAAGGGGTTTTTTTTTCTCTCAAAGGAGAACAGCAAATGTGGTTCTACTCAATGGGCTTTTAAGTCATGTTCAAAACAGAAGACATCATTCTGGAATTCCTCCTGGATAGATTTAAATGTAGGACATGTCCTGGAAAAAGGGGATGTCTGGTCACCCTGAAGACATGTGAAGGTTTCCCTTGTGACTAAAAGCCACTTCTGTTCCAAGATGCAAGCTCTGCAAATGAATTTTGAATGGAACATATCCTGGTCAACAGTTGCAGGGAGTCAACAAAAATTCCCAAGTCAATCTCAGATAAAGATTATTACATTGCTTGTTCATGTGCATTCCAGAGACAGCAGGCAAAAAGACACTGAGAACCATGCCCTTGATACAATGGGCCTTTGCAGACTGCCAGAAATAGTGCACATTAAATTGAGGTACTGCCCTGGCTCAGTGCTAGGGAGTCATGGGAATTGTATTTTTTTCTGAGACATTGAGCCTTCTCTGTCAGAGAGCTCTGGTGCCACAATAAATTACAGTTCCCATGATTCCCTAGCACTGAGCCAGGGCAGTGCCTCAATTTAATGTGCACTATTTCTGGCAGTCTGCAAAGGCCCAATCTCTTTCTCTTTCCTTCTTTCTCTGGAAGCACTTCCAATTCTCAGGCCACACCTTCCCCTTGCTTCAGGGTAACCAGAAGTCATAACTTCAAAGGAGGACAAAACACTGCAAAATGTAGCACTGTAAATGCAGGACATTATAAAACAAAAGCTAAAAACACTGATAGAAATATAAATTCATTTCATGTTATTTATTTACAACTATATTACATGTTCTGTACTTTATGATATACTCACTCGTATTTTATTGATGAACTTATTTCTGCTAAAATGCCTTGCTGGCTTACAATGTACTTATAGAACTCTGAGCAAGACAAATGCTTAAAGTTGTACTTTACTAGCAACAAACCCTTGACTGAATCCACGTTTAAATTATTCATTTCATTTGTCCACTGTGCTGAAATCAAGGAAAAGAAACTTTCAAGATCCGCATTGTGTCCTGGAAGTGAAAAGAAATATTCTGCCATTTTAAGTAGTTCTGAGTGGCATTCGTCATGTTTGCAACTCTCAAAATATTTAACCCACTTATCATTAGATGACCTACTTTCAAGGTCTGTGCTGTAGTGTTCAAGAAACTTGTTCAAATTACACAACTGGTCACAACATTTTGCATCATCAATCAAGATTCCCTTTTCGCTCAAAAAGTGTATACATGTTTCCACATCTTTCATGAGTACCTTTCCTTTCAAATCCATCCATTTGAAACAGTGAAAATCTGCAAATGAGACACTCCATTTCTTTAAATAACCATAGCATTCCCTGTACAGAGATACTGCTTCTTCCATAAAACAATCCACTTCACTATCAAATCCCTCCTCCCGTGCACATGAGAGCACCTCTCTAGTCTTAAGGGAAATAAAGGAACTTTCCAATCTGTTCTCTAGCAGGGAGGACACATTTTCTATTATATTCATGATGTCAATTATGGAATTTCTTTCTTTTTGAATCTCCTTGATATTGTCATAAAAAACAGACATTAATGAATGTAGGTGCCACAAATATGCCTTACTCAACCTCGCGGAAAAAAAATCCTTCAGGATTTTAGGGGGACTAGGCAAAGACAAAAAATATGACTGCAAAGCTTCGTACGTCTCAAGTATTCTATGAATCACTGGAAACAGACATAGCCACCTGGTTTTGGTATGGGACAGTAACTGTTTGTAGTCTGTATCAACAAATTCACAGTACTCTTTAAGTTGTTCTGTTCTTACTGTGTAAGTAGAAAAATAATGATACAGTTTGATGACTACACACTCCAAATCAACTCCCAAGCAGTCAGCCCCATGCTGAATAGTATTGTGAAGGATATGTGCCGGACAGTCTATGCCTACTAAATTCTTGCTCACGCTTTTCTTCAATTTGCTGAAAATACTGTTACCCTCAGCCCTTTTAAGCCCCCCTAAATTAGTGTTTGTATTGTCACCAGCAAATGCTACACATTTGTTAAGAATATTAAAGTGTTTCAGTGTATCACTTATGTAGGAGGAAACGGTGTCTGGAGTTTCATTGGGAATTGCTTCAAGCTCTATAACTCTACTCTGAATACCTCCTGCTTTATAATCAAAAAACTGGATTACAATTGGGAACACTTTCAGAGACAGATGATTGCTATCATCTATGCTAACCCCAAAACACGAGATCTCTTTCAAGGACTGTATTGTCACATCAACAGAATGCGGCCCAAGAATTTTGTTTATTATAATTTCAGTCTTTGTCCTAGGGCATGATGCACTTTGGGCGATGTCAGAGTCACAGTAAATTTCAGCATTTAGCTTAGGTGTGCAATCCATAGATCGATACAATGAATGGTGGCTAACAGTGTGAAATGCCAGAGCCGCTTCTGCTGCATTTACCAACTGTGTAGACTTTGATAACTGACTGAAAAAACTTGATAACTCCACAATGTTACAGTAATTTTGGGCGTTCCTCTTGTGTTTCTGGGATTGGAGATGAATTTCCAAATCCTGTGACCCTGTAAAGAGTAAACAGTTTTTTTGAAATAGATACTATGTGATTTAAAATGTTTTTAAATTAAATTAATACATTTAATTTAATGTAAATGTTTTTTCAACTGACTTACCTTTATTGGCTACCGAAATGTATGTTCCTGGAGGACAAATGAGGCACTCGGCTTCATATTTATGTCTACCATCTCTAAATAATTTATATTTGTTTGCTAAACGTTCACTAAATTTGCATTTACGTTTTGGCATTGTGCAACACCACCTTAAAATCCACAGGCTCAGGGAAGAAGGAAGGAGAAAGATGAGGCTGCAAAGGCCCTACAATCACATCGGATCCTGAAGCCAGGAGGAATTTGCTGGGTTGCTTCTGAATGATCTGCAGCTAGCGATGAATGGATCTTCAGCCAGCGATGTAAAGGACAGGTGGGTCTGCTCAGTGCAGGCTGCCAGTGATGGAAGGTCATCGGAAAGAGAGTGGCAGCAGTGGTGGCAAATCCTTTTAAAAAAAGAATGAGAGGGGGAAAAAATACACATAAAATATATCTAAAACTAAAGTACCTTTCTTCCAAGGCTGAAAGTCAGCAGAAGTATTTTCATAGAACACAATTATGCTGTTGTTGTGTGCCTTAAATTCATTTCCAACTTATGGCAACCCTAAAAGGAACCTATCATGGGGCTTTCTTGACAAGATTTGTTGAGAGATTTGCCAGTACCTTCCCCTGAGGCTGAGAGAATGTGACTTGCCCAAGGTCACCTAGTG